AGTGGTAGGGCATGCGGAGTCTCATCTCCTTTGTGAGATTCCAGCTTCGATGTCGCGTGGGATGATCACGGCAGTCTCGAGTGCAGTGAGGTGTCTGCTGTTGTACGTCGCACAGACTCCCCGGCAAATGGTTGCAGCTGGCACCGGTAGTATGGCGACATTTGATCCCACCTCACCCATGAAGAGAAGAACTCGGCCAGGACACATCTAATAAACCACCCGACCCAGATCTCCCACCCCGCCAAGCGCGAAGACAAGCTTCTAGATCGGCCCTTTCAGCTCCTCGGGAATATCCTGACAAGGCCTCTTTTAGGGACCGGATTCTAGACGCCGGGAAGCACGGTCTCCGTCATCAAGCTTCTGGCGCCCGTGAACCTTTTGTGCGCTGCCGCAGGAGCAATCGACGCAGACACACAATAGATCGCTATGGCGGGGGCGACGGGCCGGAAGCCTAGGTGTCCTCTATGCTGCCTCATCACCCCATCAGAAATCGCCATCAAAAAGGACGGTCGATTCTCTCGGTCCCTCTTGACACATCTCTCCGATGAGATGTCGTTAGCCGAGTGAACTTGAAGGGCAGAGGACGCAAAGAAGAAGCTCCGAGGATGCAGAAAGTAGCCGTGTCGGGACTACCTAGAGAAGAGTGTGGATGGGCGAGAGATGCATGACCCGACAGTGGTGGGCAGAAAATGCAATCGCCGTTGCCCGTCAACATCACCATCGCCATGAATCGTCTGGTCTTTCTGTGTCCACCGCGCAAATATCAGCTCATCCACAGACGCTACGCTCTACGACAACAGACAGAAACTGTGGGCGATTGCGTTTTGAACTATCGCAACAAACCTTGAGACGAAGCATGCCATCAGACTAGAACATTGAGAAACAAAACGGTCCCACCAATCGGCGCGGCAATCAAGCCAGGTCCTTCCGGATCGGGAAAGTCCCGGACGGCACTCCGTGCTGCCATGCCACCATCGCCTGCGGGGTGGCACATGTGGTCGCGGGATTTGCGGTGTGGAGGGGTCGAGCGAGAATGGAGGTGCATATCCAGATGCCTGCGGATAAGAGAATGCAAAAGTTTGTGTGGCATCTCTGACCCCGCATCGACGAATTCGACAGCGACTGGTGCGGGAACTCACTCGAGTTGGAGACGTCTCTTCTTTTCCCTATCTGTGTCTCGTCTCTCTTTCGAGGTTATCGTGAGATGACAGCCGGAGTTGTTTCACTCTCAGCCATCAAAATGTTTATCCCCGTTTCACCAAGATGAGATGACAGCGGAGGTGAAGCTGAAAAGGTGACAGGACACATCACTCACGAACCGTCCAAGAAAGCTGAGTAGCTGGAATGTGAATATCCATCCCCATCCCCCTCCCCCTCCATCCCCATCCCCCTCCATCGGCCTCTTCCGCCGAGAACACCAAAAGAAACAAATGTCCATCCAATCGCGATCCCAGCCGTTTAGCCTGGGACTTGCATCTGGCACAATTAACACTCACACACTCATTCACCTTCCCTTTTGCCTTTTCGGGCAGACATGGACAAGTCCACAAAACCCACACACACATCCGCACACTCAAAGGCAGACAGATAGACACATCCACACAAATATCCACCCACACATCCACGCAGGCGCACACCAGGAGCCAATGCGCCCGCGCTGACGAATTGAGTTGATTCTTCTTCACTTCGATGCGGAAACCCCTCCACACCCGGGGACGATGGGTGGGCCGGGACTCGGGAGATGCTACTCCAGGGTCCTTTGCCGGGCTAGGATGTTCGCCGCGTGAAGTCAACCCCCGGGATGGGGGGTTTTGAACGTGGTCCCGCATGCCGAGCATGGAGCTTCCTAACCTAGTAGCTGAGACCTTTCTCATATCTGCTATGAAAGACGCCAGCTCTGCTCTCAGGTGCTTTGAGACTCGATACCTGCCGTTTTCTTCCCTTCTTGATGTTGCCGTTCTCAACCTAGAATTCCCTCCCATGTCTTGAAAGCATGTAAGTCCTTGGTAAACAACAGGCGTGGAAGGTCGTAAGCTTCAAGATCACCAACATCCGACTTGTCGGCGACTGTCGCAGTCGTCTTGTTCACGATGTCGAACTCCAGTATCAATGCCAACCTCACACACCCTCATGCACCGTCGTCGTCTTCAACATTATCACCGACGGTTCTCAAGGAAATCGTAAGTCACAATCCCATTCATCTTATCGAATGACAGTCATCTCACATTGCATCACAGCATGATGCAAACGTCCCCCTCTTGATGACGGGCCTCCTCCTCCCCCACGCCCTTTGCACCATCTTCATCGCCTCCCGAATAGCCTCCCGTCTCTGGGTAACTCGCGAATGGTTCCTCGACGACACCCTCATCCTTATCGCATGGCTCTTCTCCACGGCCCTCTGCGTAGTCTACAGCATCACCGCCACCACGCCCTCCCTCCTCGGCGCCCCTTCGCTATCTTCAACTGCCACAGCCGACACCGACGCAAACCCGTACATCATGCGGACCTACCTAGGCCTAATCTACTACCAACTCGCCCTCTGCCTCACAAAACTCTCCATCCTAGCCTTGTATCTCCGCGTCTTCGCATCCTCCTCCCGGCCCCGCGAACGCCTCCTCGCCCGCGCCGCCGTCGCCTTTGTCCTCCTCTACACCCTACCCTTGCTTCTCATGTCCTTTCTTCAATGCAACCCCGTCCAAGGCCAATTCTTCAGCCGCCCGGTGCCAGTATGCTTCCGCTTCCCAGACCTTCTCATCGCCAGCGCGAGTCTGCACTCCGCCACAGACGCCTGGCTCGTCGCCATGGTCGTCCCCTCCGTTGCGCGTCTCGACCTCCCCCGTCGCCAAAAGATTGCCCTCGCAGTCGTCATGAGTCTCAGCGTTCTGGTGATTGTAGCAAGTATGGTCCGTCTACAGCTCAGTCTGCACCTGCACTACCGGCCCACCGACGACGCCGGCGTCCGCAACACTCTCGGCTTCTTCGTCATGACGGTGTTGGAATGTGACCTCGCCGTCATCTGCGCCAGCGCACCCACTCTCCGCCCTCTACTGGCGCGCCTCTTCCCTTCCGTGATGATGAGCAGCGCAAAGCGGCGCTCGCTCGAGGCCGGCGGCGCCGAGACACAGAGCTTTGATCTTACTAGCCTGACATATCACGGCTACCCCTGGACGGAACCCAGCACGCCCGCCGGGTTAGCAGCGCAGAGCCGGAATGCGAGTATCGCGAGCCATTTGAACAAGCTGCGCATGCCGGCGCCGCCGCTGCCGACGCTTACGATGGCGCAGCTGGGCCCCGCGAAATTGAGTCTGGGGAATCTTTTGATTACGGGTACGGCGCCGCGGAGGCCGGGGCGGAGTTGGCATGTTGCAGAGGACGGGAAGCCAATTTTGTTTGAGACGGCGGAGAGGAGGGGGGCGGGGGCGGCGGGGTATAAGACGCAGGCTTCGTCGATTTATTCGCAGGATATGACGTGTAGTGGTGATGAGTCGTGGCGGGAGGAGGACGAGTTTGAGAAGAAGGGTGGGGTGATTCTCAAGACTATGAGGTTGAGTCTTCGATCTGAGTATGTTACACAGAATGAGACAGACGGAGGAGACAAGGAGACGGGAAGTGTTGACCGTTCGAGCCCGACGTCTGGATTCAGTGGCGATACCTGGGCCGTTGACAGAAGCAGCTCAGGGACGGCTGGGGGCGATGGAGTCGGCGGGAGAACACGCATAGGGAGATTTATGGAAGAGATACCCCGGGAAGAAGCAGTTGAGACGCCAGAGGTTCCCAAGAGGAGCCCTTTGAGGGATAGTCGACGAAGATAATGACCAATACAGACTGATGATTTGATGACTCTAACGAAGGCTCCCCTCCACGAACCTCTTCAAGTCTTTCCCCTGCGTCTCAAACCTTTCTTGTAGAGTACCCTTCAGCGGCAACAGCGTCGTCGCCCCGGGTAGGTAATAAGTCTCATATGACACCATCCTCACGGGCCCGTTTCCCAAATCCGTCAACAGGTTCGGATGCTCCGCCGGCAGAAACGTGCCACCAAGTCCATCGTCGTTTCGCCACGCGTTGACGGCTCGTGTAGCGCCGTCGTCACTGCCGCGCACATCCAGTGCAAGTAAACTGATGACCTCGGTCGAGGAGGTATTGACACCGGGAATGATACCAGCTGTGGTAAAGTTCATCGATAGGCCGGCGTACACGTCCCCCGGTCCCTGCACATCGGGCGGGAGGCCGACGTCGATTACAAAGGTGTTCCAGGTATTGTAGCGGCGGAAGTCGAGAAGCGCATTGTAGATTTTGTCAATGGGTGCGTTAATTACTTCTTCGGTGCAGACTGTGAAGAGCGCGCCTTTGAGGTCGTACGTGGGCGTGGGAAGGATGGCGCTGGAGCTGCAGCGTAGGGAGGCGATGTCGGATAGGGAGGCTGAGGCGGTCACGGCAAAGAGCCATGAACTCGAAACGACACGCATTTTGAGACGTTCCAAAGAATCTTCCTCGAACCTAGTTTGGTCTACATGGAGAACAGCGATAGGAGTGAGAGAAGATATGGTAGCGATCGAGGGCAGAGCGTCGATGATGTATCTGTCTAGGGTCTTTCAGCTTACATGTAGGTCCCCAGGCGAGCTGAAAACTCCATGACGTGGCCATGCAGACACGAGCGCCCACTACCTTACGAGAACAAACCCTCAGGCACTCATATGGAGAGCGGGCACTTTTCCAGACATGAACACACGACAATTCTTCTCCCTTCTTAGCTGACGATCCTACCTCTCTCAGCCAAGTGAAAATTGCAAGCGTTGTGACATCTGTGTCTTGGTCTTTGCCAGCTCAACTTTCACTTTTGACTGGGGTGCTAGAAAATTATCACAAGTCATTGAATACATTCACACAGGAATATGAAATGGGACGTTAAGCCAATTCGATATCCTCGCTCTCTATGGTCCAGAAGTTGAGTGAAGTGGAATTATTGTATATTGTGTTGAATCAAGCCACGGGGATCGTAATTATACAGCGTTTTCAGCACCCTCCTCGTGTGGGATAAGTTCTGTCTGTGGGAAGGTCCACGAGGAAAGTTCTAGGGGGGGCAAATCAGCTGACAAGTTAAGGTCAAACATTCCAAGTTCATCCAGCCTATGTTCCACGCTTGGTAGATCGTGATCCATAGAAAACTCCGCTGTAGAGGACTGTACCAAAGATCCCGATTGATGCAAACCGGTAAAAGCTTGCAATCCAAGCATTGCCACCCCCTCTGACTCCAGTGTTTGAAGATCCGGTGGAACATCCGTAGGTCCTAGTCGGATGTTTTGCTGTGGGTTGGATGCAATTGCAAATGAATCTGTTCTTGTTTGAAACTGACTCCCTATCCCAATCCCGCTGTCCACCAATGACGCAGTGGGGGTCTCATTGCGTGTTGAGTTGCGGCTTCGACCGATTCCTGAATCAGAAGAGGTATTCGTGCTGAAAGTATCGCAGATAGAATCCAAAGACTCTGAAATGACCCTTCTTAAAAGCCGCTCTTGGTCTGCGGCCACCCTGCGTTCGTCTAACAATCCAGCAGCACGGAGGTTTTGGGCAAGGAGCGGCTCTGCGTGTCGCGCGCAATGCTCCCGAAAGAGACAAACCTGCGTGGCAAACGCGGAATCTAAATACGCGGAGTCAGGGCGTGGCTTCCGGGGGAAAACAGTATCCCAGACTGCGAACCACTGCTGCTCTTCCGACAACTCAGCGTTTACCTTTCGAGAGAGGTCGCGGCTTTGTCGATGGGTAATTCCATCTAGCGTTCTCCCCTCAGGCGCGAGCTGGCACCCGAACCCGTCTGGTTGCGACACGTGCTGCGTGAGGCTTTCTTCGTCATCAAAGATGCTCAGGCAGCGGTTGCAATAATCATCGGGGGTATGCTTCCTCTTCAGATGCTGCTTGACGTCCCGGATTCGTTTGAGCTGGAACCGTGAGCAAGCGGAATATTTGCTGGGGCTCATCTTCCCAAATGGACAGGCCAGAAGTTTGATATGCTGTTGCGTTTTCCTGGACCTTTTTGAAGGTCTTGAATGGGTCGCGTCCTCTTCCGAGTCTGAGTTGTCATCTTGAACTTGTTTTCTCTTTCGACCTTTTCCTGCAGGTCTTGAAGACGCAGCAATGCCACTAGTAGACGACGAAGAAACTGTTCCGTGATCTTGTCCATTGCCACAAGATGGGACTTCTCCGCCAGCTACATATCGAAAACCTGCAACGAGGCGGAAAACCACGGTTTCCACGACTGCACGTATCGGATCATCATCTGCTAGGGGTTCAAGTTCTTCCGAAGAATCTGACATCGATAGCAAATCAGATTCTAACGAGGATTCGGTTGACTCACTCGCACGATTCCCGTTTGGATTTTGGCACAAAGCCCAAGAAATGGCGTCATCGTCCCATGAAAAGCTGGAGACATTATTCATGTCCCCATTTTCTACTGTGACCTTCTCCGACGATGCTGTGCTCTTCGGGGACTCGGCTCCATATGCCCCCATTACCGATGAGCTAGAGACGCTGTGATATGGACTGTCGTTGCCGATGGAACTAGATTCCTTCCCTAAAGTTGGCACGGAGTCATCTGAGAAATGTCAAAACTCCATTGTCGAGACTAATGTGTTGGATCGAAGACATTCTATGATAATGCTTACCTTCGTCCAGACAGAGCCCTTGGCATTGTCCAATGATATGACGGCCTCTCAGGATCTCCTCTAAGTCGATAGTTCTTCCGCTGCATGTACCTTTGTCCTGATTGCCTGGGGTCGAGCAATGGCAAAAAGGTCTCTCGGCACTTTGGGTCTCATGCCAAAGATACACATTTTGGACATGCTTCATAAGTAAAAGCCTTCTCTGTAAACCATCCAACACCAACCCGGCTGTGAAAGAATATCTAGACACTGGTCCCAGTGACTCTATGAGATAGCGAGGAGAGACCTCGATACCGTTGAAAGAATTAGGTCGGCGCAAGATAGGGTACCCTGGAACCACAACAACCTCATCGTTTCCTAGTAGGTCTGTCCATCGAGACTGCTCCAACAGTGCAAACTCGTCAGGAATAGGGTTTTGGACTCCGATATCGAACCATAAACGCCCCTGATGAAGTTAGAATAAACGAAACCACCACTAATTCTAAAGTTATGCGCCTACATGTAGTGTAGCCATTTTCATGATGAAGGGTATTCGCTGGACGGTATTGCTCATACCATGTTGAGGAGGTGGGTTTCCCCATGAGGCCCGTAACCAGGCAAGCTGCTCACCACACTCTGCAATGGTGTGAGCAGGACCATCAAGACTCATCGTGAGGATACCGTGCTCAGACGATACTGATATTTGAGTCTGGTCATGCAAGATATCTGTACTGCGGTGAATATACATTGATTTCCAGCCAAGGATAAAAGCTTACCTGCGTAAACAATGCCGTCGGAACTGCGAGACACTGTCCGCAACAAGTTGAAGATCGTTAGCCATGTCGAAGGCCACGTCTGCTCCATGTAATCCACAATCATTGATGCCTGGGCATCCCCTGAGCAATGTGTTACAACCACGGCATTGGGTACGGACCATTCCCGGCCGTATGTGTACTCTTCAGAACTGCGAAAGAGTGCCCATCCCGGCACTCGAAATGTTACAGAGTGGGTGGTTGGTGGCCGGTTTTTGCTAATCTTTCCAGTTGGGAGGCTCTCTATGACCTTGCGCCGTATCATTTCACGACGATTACAACCTTCCGATTCATCGAAATCTCGCTTGAGTGTCAATTCTCTTCGCAGGCTTTCGATTAGCCACTTGAATGAATCGCTCTCTGTAACGGTCTTGTTGTACTCGAATAATGCCGGAGCGTCGATGGTCGCTTCCACATCTGTAACCCCCACGAAAAGCTCATCATCATTGACAGAGGTCTCTGTCCCCGTGGCCTTGCTGATCCACAAAGCCATCTTATCACTTAGGAGCATGTGGTCTCTCCTGGCCTCGACAATCTCGTCAGCATCCTCTGCTGAAGCGTCGACACTGAGGATCATTGAGTCAAGTCGCGTCGCGATGTCACTGTCTTATCTCAGTCTTCATTCAAATACGTCGAAACGCGTTGGCCTAACAGGGCACGTACCGGCTACGTTTGTGTATGAAGTGCATGATATCTCGGTTCACCTGAGCCGAAGATTCAAGGCCAATTTTGATGGCGAAGTCCTTGATGAGACCCAATACTCGCTCGGACAGTAGCCTCCAGTTGTCTGCGTCAACGTTTCCGCCGAGATTGCTGTGTATAGTGTTGGACAACTCGAAAATGTACTGCTGCGCTTGGTCTATTGCAACAGTACTATCTCCCGAATAGGCGGTTCTTGCGTTCGAATCATCTCTTTCATTGCCGGATGTATCAGCACCTGTCAGTTCCATTCGCGGCAGATTTTCAACGTTGATCCTAGATGCATATCCTGAATCGGTAAGTGGGGCTTCCTGCTTCGCCGGAGGCGGCAGGAGCTGCGAGTAACTTTCTTCCAGTTCCCCAACCTTCAACGTGTTACCACTGTCTGTGGTCCTCGTGTTCTTAGCTGGAAACCATGAATGATTGGGGTTGTAGGGCCCATTAATCCATGTGAGCCTTGAGGCAAGAGATCCAGCGTCGGAATTTGCTCCAGTGTCTGAAAGTGGTATGCTCGAGTCTGGCGACTGCACATCGTTGATGGCCGAATCACCTTGCTGACCAACTCGCTCACGAAATTCTGAATCCTCTGGTACTTCATCAAGTACTTTATCAATCATCCGTTGGATATATCGGTCCTTTACTTCTCTATGTGCGACTTGTTGCACCATCTTTCGAAGGTCAGGATTACGTGGCGCCATATTCGCTAAGTTTATCACGATAGGGTCTTCAGGATTCAGCTCTTCATCAGGGCTCCCGGCATTTTGAAGCGTTGATATATCCTGTTTAATGGTGTCAGTTTCGTGTGGCTCCAAAGTAGGAAGCACGCAGTAGACAAGTAGTAAGAAGTGGACTGGGTTTTATACTGCATCTTTCAGGAGTTGGCGGGCCTCTTGCCCATCTAACGCTTGTGACTCTCCCGTGGGAGCGCTGAGCTCGTATCCCTCACACAATCGAGCTTCCTGAGTGCATGGACCACACGAAGGCCGAGTCTCGTCGCACTTGAGACGCCGCCGCCTTGAGTTTCGAACATCAGTATCGGCAGAGAATACTACTTAGTAGGCTTTGTGGGAGCTGCCAAGCCATCTAGTCTTACCGGCACGTTATGCAGGCCCGCTTCTCACGAGCCTCCCGCTTCAACAATCGACTAGCAGATTGTCTTGTCGTCAGACCCCCGAGTACGGGCACAAGAGCCGGTTGGTGCTTTCCCTCATCAGCCTGATAGGCGGGGTGCGACGATGACATCGTTTCTGCAACAATAATGAAGCGATTCGATGAAATACGAGTGGGAAAACTGTAGTTGAGTGTAGTCAAGTCGCCGCTCTGGTCAAGACAGGAACGAAGTAGCTGCTAATCAATTGTTGTGATGATGTTGGATATCTCTGCTTGCGGTTGGACCGGATTCATGGCAAGAATCAGAGGGAGAAAAGGAATCCCAGCTTCTACAGACCGATCCTAACGCGCTTGTAGCCGTCGTCACCAACAGGTGTCACATGTCGGCTACGCCATTCGTGGGAATGAGCCAGACTAATAGCTTAGGCAGAAAATTCTACCAATCACAACCAACCCAAAGCACAACAGTGCTCTTTACATCGACCATGGTACTTGTGCTCTGCTGGACTGCGGTGGCTGGAAGCTTTCGGAAAGATTTGCGTTTAACGCCTACGACTCCATATCGCAACTTTGTGCTATAGTATTGGTCTTGGAAGAGCACTGAGTACAATTGGCAATATCCAGGCATATAAGAGGCAGGAGGTGGATGAATCAAGTAGAATTAAGTTGTCAAAAGAGAGAGAAAGTTTGACTAAATTACTACTTGGCAATATAACGAGATCTTGAATTGAATTATACCTAGTCTATTCTGTCTAGAGTACCACCTGAAGTTGCAATGTCAAAAAGATCAAGTTCGTTGGCAACCATGGCCGATGGCATCCAGTAAGTTTTGTGTCAATACGACATGCTCTGCTGTCCCATTATAACGATTGGATAGAAAGGACTCCGATGTCCCCTCGGTCAGGCTAGAACGATTTTTAAACGACCAACCCACTGTCGGTGAGGTTCTGATGATGAGCCGCACGACAACCCCCAGATGTACGACACAGCGCAGGACAGAGGACATGAAGCTGGTCATTCGTGAATGGGAGGAGTCATGGTGCACAGCGACAACCAACTAAGACGAGCTACGAATACCGGAATCGCAGAGGGAATGGGTGTTGCAATAATCAAAAAGTCGGGTTGGCCATGACTATCAATGCATAATGATGGCCCTCGTTGCGCTTAGAAAGTGGATTGACCATCCTCAATAGTCAGACGGCTGTTGCTGAACGTCAAAGATGAGTTCACTGGTTGTATGAGCAAAAGATTCCGAAACCGAGAATCGAACTCGGGGCTATGCCTAACCGCTCACAGAGGTGAGAGGGCATCATGTTGGCCACTACACCATATCGGATGTGGATACTGCTGCAGACCCTTTAGAGTCACTGAGTAGGCGGGAATCAGTCGGCTCATCGGGTTGAATAGCGAAATCCAAAGTGATCCATAGTCAAACGAGCTCTGAATAGGGAAAGTGCATCTTGAGCTTTCGCTTGTGGAAATTGTGTGGCGGTTGGAGCTTATGCCCAACGTGAACTCGCCTGGAGCGACCCCAGCCCAGAGAAGAGTGAATGTTGCCAACACTAAGCCATGTTGGTATGGTGGCAAGTCACTAGCAACTCTAATTGAAGAACTAGTGAGTTCTGATTCCGACCGCATGGCTTTACTTACTTTTGGGGAAGTACTAGTGCAGGGGTAACAAGTCTTCGGGTCTACACTAGACCTTGATTTGTGACTATTAATTACGTCGTGCCCTGTAATTTAATCATTCTCGAAGTGGCTCACCTCAAACCGAGATACAAATCTTACAAGATCTCCCGCCTTGCTCAGAGAAAAATCCACCGTCATGCTCGCGCCTTTCGTCGCTTCCATGTGTCACAAACATGGCTCACACTCGTTTGAATCTATACACGGCAGCCCGCCTCTTGTTCTTTCTATTGCCCCTTGTGAAAGCTCTTCCCAGCAACTCTCCAATCGAGGCCCGCGATGGCTCGTACACATACTTAGCATGTTATACCGATGCAGTCGTTGGTCAACGAACACTGGGAGGGCCAGCAATCGCCGACGACACCATGACAGTTCAGAAATGCAGCTCCTTCTGTACAAAGTACAGCCACTTTGGCGTCGAGTACGGCAGAGAATGCTATTGCGGCAATACAATCCAGAGCCAAGCGCTTGCAGTCGACCGAAATGAATGCAGCTTCGCCTGCTCTGGCAACCCCTTGGAAGTCTGCGGCGCTGGGAACCGTATGGATATTTATACCAATTTGGGGTTCTCTAGTCCGAAGCCCGCCACGCTCGTTGACCATGTCTACTTGGGTTGCTTCATCGACAACGGCGACCGGGTGCTTCCCAACAAGCCCTTCGCTTCCGACACCATGACAGCGGCATTCTGTGCTCAACACTGCCAGGGTTACACCTACTTCGGTACGCAGTGGTCGCGAGAGTGCTACTGCGGTAACGTGGCGCCGCAATCTGCTGCTCCAGAGTCTGAATGTTCATTCACTTGCTCCGGGTCCGATGCCGAATTATGCGGCGCCGGCATGAGACTCAGTGTTTACGGACCGCCGGTGGTATCATCGCTCCCCGGCACGACTCCCTCACAAGGCTCAACGCCCTCTCCCGTCTCACCAGCGGCAGCAGCTACCGTCTCTGGGTACGTCTACCAGGGTTGCTACACCGATAACCTGCCTCAGCGCGTTCTCACTGGAGACCTTGTCCGCGATCCCACGATGTCCCTCGAGAAGTGCGCCTCGTTTTGCAGCACCTCCCACTACACCTACTTCGGCGTTGAGTTCACGGGAGAGTGCTATTGCGGGATGGCTTTAGATACGGCCAGTGCGAAACAGTCAGAGGTTGCGTGTGCAATGAAGTGCGGCGGTGACGGCACAGAGATCTGTGGCGACGCCAACCGCATATCAGTTTATGCTCTACCGCAAACATCAACGATTCCAGTCGTCAAGAACTTAGCAACTGTCGGCGGCTTCTATTACTCCTCTTGCTGGGTCGATAACGTGGATGGGCGTCGGTCGCTCTCTGCAAAAGACTACAGGGCCGACGATATGACTGCTGAGAAGTGTGCTAGTTTCTGTCAGGGGTACAGCTACTTTGGTCTGGAGTACTCCCGAGAGTGCTACTGCGGCAACACTGTCGGCGGTTCCATGGCTTCAGAGAAAGACTGCGGGCACGTCTGCGTGGGAGACTCTTCGCAATGGTGCGGAGGGGGCGATCGTCTTAGTCTCTACAGCATCAATCCGCCTATTATTTCGTCATCTTCGTTCTCAATGACATCAACCAGCTCACTTGACACAGCGAGCGTTGCCACATCTGGATCAACCTCGTCTACTCAGAATACTTCTTCAAGCTCCTCCAGTCTTGCAGTTCCTACCACCTCAACAGGCTTGGAGTCTTCCGCGACTACGACTTCACCGACTGCCTTCTCTTCATCGGAAACGACAGGGAGCTCATCAACCTCGACTTCCTCCATCTTTGACAGCTCCGGAACATCTTCAATCCCTAGTTCCACTGCGTCGAGCACCTCGAGCATATCCACGTCCCCAACATCGACCTTTACCTCGTCCTTCACTTCTTCAGTATCAATCTCTTCTTCTAGCTCAAGCATCAGTAGTAGCTCAACCAGCAGCAATGGCATCGTTTCCAGTTCTACCACAAGCTCGGCCGCAGCGGCAGCAAGCACCTGCAACCCAGGCTACCGAAATGACCTGACCGCTACATTTTCAAAGACCTTCGGCAGCGCCTTCGACCTTCAGACATGGGCGGTGACCACTTCGTCCCAAACTACTTATTCATATGTCCAGGGCGACGCAAATGCTTTGGCCTACAACATGTCCTTTGCCTCCGTCAACGCCGTCCGTACCACAAAGTTCGTTCAGACCTTCAACGTCGTAAGAGGCGCAACGTATCAGGTGTCACTCCGATACCAACTCGGCGGGACGACGAGTCAACCCCCAACTGCCGCAGTGCAACTTGCCGCCCCCTCGACCACCGTTCAGTCAGTCGTGACCCAGTCAGCCGACTCTCAGCAGCTCCAAAGCTGGCAAACAGTTACTGCTGTGTTCACACCAGCTCTCGATGCTATGACCGTCACGATCAGCGCGACAAGTCCGAGAAGTGCAGTGGCGTGGGTGATTTTTGACAGACTCGAAATCAAGATGATCACGCCCACCACCAATGTTGCACCAATAGTGAACGGAGAAGTTCTCACATTCGCAGACGTTCGCTCAGGCGCAGTCACGTTCCCTAGCTGGCTCAAGAAGCCCGCAGAAGGGAACATCGTCTACGGGGCCAAGCCTGTCTTCGGGTTCGCGTCACCGGGGTACAACGGTGCGGGAACCTCGCGGAGTGTATGGTTCAATAATCAACCGCCATTGACGGCAAATTCTGGCGGACCGGTATTCTACTTTGCTGGGTACGGCGGAGATGGTTTGAAATATCAGAAGTACGTGATGCGAACGCGTGTTCGATCTGTCAGTAGCCAGGGCTGCTATCTGTCGATGACTAGTTATGATGGGGGACGTACTCAGGTGGCTGGGTATTTTATCATGGACGGCTGCGAGCAACAGTGGCAGACGATTGAGTCGGGGTCTTTTACACCTGTTTATGACTTGCTGATACAGGCGCAGTTCAGATGTCCTTTCTCTCTTGGATTGAATGCGACGTTCTGGCTGGACAACATTGAGATGGTGCCAATTGCTGGTTGAAAGCAAGTACATGTAACAACTAGGGCTCTTCGAGTCTAGATTGCACCAGACGATACGAGTAATATAGCCTCTTAATAGCTACATGTATTGGGAAGAGATCTGCAGTTTGAGTCAATTTGTAAGGAGTTGATGATTGCTTCTCATTTTGACTACTTTATGTTGGTAGCTAATGGATTTGCTGCTACGTACTTAAGGTAGGCAAAGTCGAGACGGAACTGATTGACTCATGTCATTGCGCAACTCTGATCGTGGGATGTAACAGCTCTCATCGCGCACCTAAGCATAACACAAGTCTGATAGGGCTTGTAATTACGTCATGTAACGGTATTATCAAGAAGATCATTGAGAAATTTTCAGCTGTTGATCGAACGAGTAAGCCCGCAGGTATATTGCTGTGGTCATCGTCCGTTCTGTGTCGCACTCACTCCGAGACTGCTCCCTGTTCTTGTCGCTTGTACTTGATGCAGTCCCTAAGCGCTAACAGTACCCGTTCCCAGCAGGACCCATAGTGACAGTTGTCCCAGCACTTAAGTTGACTAAACACGCAACTCGCCGCCATTGCTCTTCAACGCGGCGCAAAAAGTTCGAGTATATAGGCAACTTTTGGATGACATGCTCATGGTCTTACTAAAGCATCGAACCGCCATTGAAGATCTGTCTGGAGTTGGATTATTTCCTGATTCATACCAAAACTTTCACAACTCGTCGATCCCTGTGGTGCTAATGGCGACAATCGCATGACGATTTCCACAAGCCGAAACGGAAAAGAATGGGAAAAAGAAAATTTCTTCTCCCTGTCGAGCAGTTGCGTCTGCCCAGTCTAATAAAACCCGGTGGGATGACCACGCGGCAATCGCCCCCGGATGAACGGACTTGAGTTCCGGGCAGAAATGATGTTGCGCGGCGCGGGCAGAGAAGCGCACGAACCACTGAACATTGCTGCTCGCGCACAGCGGGTAGTAACTGTGAGAGTTTTTGCTAGGGATTGTTTATTTTCACATCGGAAACAAAAATAGCTACTGACTCGTGGGAAAGCCAAATATGGTGCACGTAAGGAGTCAGGTTTGGTTCAACTACATCACATCACAGGGGAACAAGACAAGATAATTTTTTTTCCAAGAAAGGCTGTCATTTATACAGGCTGTAAAGAAGATAAGGTATCTACAGAATCGAAAGCTGCCGCTAATCCCACTGCCACTGGGGGTAACCTTGACCCGGGGCGAAATGGTTTATTTTAGAAGAGCGTAACAAAGTCAAATCCTAAAAGCGGATATGACTTAGATCTTGCCGTAACCAGCGCTGCTGCTGGAGACGGAAGAAGCGGCAACGGCGTCGGGGATATCGGCGCTGCCAAACTTGCTGAGGACGCTGGTGTCGGTGCCGGTGAAGGTGCCGGAGCTGGAGAAGCTGTTGGCCTGGCAAGAGCGGCCCATCTTGGAGGAGCAGTCGGCAGCGTTGGAGGAGGTGATGGCAAGGGTGGCACCGTCGCCGCCGGCCTCGATGACGGTCGCGACGTTGCTGAAGACGTTGCCCTCAGCCAGGACGTAGCCGCCGGAGGTGACCTCGAAGCCGTGGCCGGTGGAGTCGGACCAGTAGTTGTTCAGGGCGTGGACGAAGGAGTTTCCGTTGACCTTGGGGGCACGGCCTATAGTTGTGAGTTAGTTTTCTGTTGCATTTGCTGTTGTAATCTTCCTTTCACAGTGACTTACCAGAGAAGTGGTGGATGTAGTTGTTCATGTAGGTGATGGTGTCGCTGGAGCCGGCGAAGTAGTTGACCCAGTAGTGGTAGCCGTCGCAGGTGGCGGAGTAGTCGCTCTGGCCATCGAACTCAGAGTTGGAGACGGTCACCTTGCCGGAGGCAGAGGTGCCGAGAACAAGGTGCTGGCGACCGATCTTGGAGGTCTAGATTCGAGGTTGTTAGTGGTGTGCAATCTCAGATCTCAGACGAGTGAGCACTTACGGTGACGTGGTCGATCCAGACGTTGTCGGTGGTGTCGAGAGTGATGGCATCACCGCCCCAGACGTACTTAGGGTTGATGTTCTCAATCTTGATGTTCTGGATGATGACGTTCTCGGCACCGGCGATTCTCAGACCCTTGCCAACAATGACACCCTTGGAGCCGGATCCGATGATGGACTTGTTGGAGGCAACCTTGATGGGGTTGAGACCGGCCTTGTTGTAGGTAACAGAGACGGAGGGGGCGCTGGACTGGTAGTTGTCGCACCACGAGTCCTTGTTGATGGCAACCTGGCAGGCGGAAGCGGTTCCCCAGGGAGCGCAGCCGGTCTCGGTGGCGGTGCCGTCCTCGTCGGTGAAGTCGAAGGTCTTGGTCAGGACGATGACACGAGCGGACGAGTCGCCGAGGTACGAGACCAGCTCGTCGTTGGTGGTGGGGGTGACGGCAGTCGCAGAGCCTCCGCCAGTGGTGCCAGAGGCGAAACCCTCGGGGGTACCGGTGACGGAGACGGCAGCGGCCTGCTGGGCAAGGGCCGCAGCGGCCAAAAGGAAGGACTTGGCGAACATCTTGGAAAAAAAGGTGTAGAAAAGAGTTGAACGAATGAAAGAATGAGTGACTGTGGGAATGAAACAACAAGAGAGAACGGATCGACAGACCAAGGCAACCTCGAGTTGATATACAATTGAAGGCTGGGATGGAAACTGGGTCTTTCGACGAGCTCACCCGAGCCATTGGATCACCTATTCCCATAGAGTCCATCGGCTTGCCATCGACAACACGATGGATTAGGCCATGACATGGATTGTTGGTCGTTGGCCGCGTAGTACGGGCCCCGTATGTGATGCGGGCGCGTAAACAACCATGGAATTGAATATATGACGGGGGCTTCTCACTCCACATAGAAATCCAATGGCAGAACCAACGGTTACTGAAACAGGCAATGATGGCTGGTCATCCGAAGCGCCATCCCGGACGTCGAGGGCGTGGTCGGGGCGGTTCGTGGCACAGACCTAATCAATGTAAAGCTCCGATCGACGCAAGACGGAGTACGTCCTGTGTGACATTAATTCTGCCAGGTCCACCCCATCCTGCCACGCGGGTCCGTCCCGAGGGAAACGAGCCTCTCACAGGCTCCCAGAAACCACCATAAACCACAAAAAATCCCATCAACATCCAGGTTTGGGGTCCTTTGCGGCTCCGTAGCTCACTTCCCAAGTTTCCATACGTTGGAGCCCGTGTTGGCACTGGTGAAGATACCCCTGACTTCCCGCAGCGGAGACTACTCCCCCCACCACCCGAATCAGACATTCACAAAATCATTTCAGGGGGTGTCTGTCAGACAACGTACGAGTCCCATTTCGCGAGGCTTTCGTATCCTCTATGTTTAGCCATGACAGCCTCTCGGGCAATAAAGCTACAACGAGATGGAGCTGCAGGAAAGACAACATGGAACCCGCACGGCAGTTGCCATCACGCATTGAAATCGCCCCCTCCCCTCTTCACCACCGGACCCGGGACTAAGGATCGTGGGGGATTTTATTTCGTCTGAAACTACGCTGTATTCGGAACTCACCGACACTGAACAGGGAACGACCAGGTGGAGAAGTGCCAGCAAACATATCGTGACGTGACATGAGAGAGGGAATCGAAGCCGACTAAGGACTGGACCATATGGACACATACACAAACACACACGCACGGGAACGATAAAAGTTTTGTGGCTCACTGTTAACTTTTGGGCGGGCCCGACACAATGCAACCAGGAACCTCACTCTCTCCCTCTCCCCTAGAAGTAGCAATAGGGGAGCCGAGGGCAGTGTATGGTATTAATGGCGGCCAGACCCCGTTGGAGCGGGTTGTTGCATCATTTGACGTTAGGCGAGTCTTTCTCGGTTCATTGTGACATGCACTGCAACGCTGTTTTGAGTTTAAGCTGCTGAGCCAGACTCTGTCTTTAATATCGAGTGTTCGAGAAGCCGCGACACAAACCAATATATTCAACTGGGGACGCGTAACATGTCGGTGAGGTGCCGAGGCAGGAGAATGAAATATGGTCTCTAGTTGAGGTGATGCTCAGCCGCGCCGATGGGAGACGAGCGACGAGGCGGATTGTTTCCGGGGGTTCCCGGCCGAGAGCTTTTTTTGGTCCACGTAATTCCCCTGTTCGTCCAGTCTTGCCTCCACCTTGGCGATGTTTGAAAGGCGACAATGCATGAGCTGTCGAGGAGACAAATTAGTTAATATGGCAAAGAAGTGAACGAGATTGAAATTCGTCAGTCGACGCACGAAGACCGGAGTTTATCCTGAATACTACCGCCGTTTGCCTTGGTCGGGAAGTACGGACGAGAGAGCTTTTTGATCGTTGCATGGATTTCATAAAAAAGTCATGCACCCTGACAGCTCCTCGCAAATGAGGCAGGAGTGCTCCGTAGATATTGTTTCATCGAAGCCTTTAAAGACATTTGCCAAGACCGCCAAGAAGAATCTCGAGCAATCGGACGGCCGCAACCCGATAGTTGTCAATATCAGATTAAATCATTGAATGGACTATATCCGTCTACGGATTACTTGTCAATCGACTATACAACACGTATATCCTGAGATCAACTTCTTTGGAAGCTACAGCGATCTGCATGCGCTTGGATCGGACGCTTTCGATTTTGTGTTTTAAGGTTCTCTTACAATGCTACGCCAGCGCGAGGTAGCCCTCTTTGCTGAAGGCGATAACAGACAGTGCTATAACAAAATTAACCGGGGTGCTGCGTTCCCACAATCCGAAAGTTTCTGCTGATAAACCATCTCCACTCTCTAGAGCGCACGTCTGGGGCAGTTGTCGAACTCTGTTGCGCACCGGCAACTCCAGAGTCAGTGGTGTTTTTAAAGTTCAACTCGCACTGCACGCGCAAAGTCAATTTGACTGCCGCCAAGCCACTTTTCGTAGGTTGGCCTATCCGTTCTGCTGGTGTACGATTTTGGGTGGGTGTGGTGATCGTGGGAGTAGTTCTGCACCAAGCTGGGGGAGGGCTCCAACGCTCATCTGCA